CCAATGTTTTTGAATTAGTGTTAGATATGCATGCTTAAAAGGGAAAACACATCTTTATTCATTATGACTGCTGTGCAGCAATCAATAAACAGCTATCCTAATTATTTAGTGACTTTAAAGCTAATTCGTATGTTAACTATTGGGGCTATGTAAATTATTTGCAGGGCATTCAAATAATTAAATTCAAATACATAATTCATTGTAAGAACACTAAGTGAAATGCAACCTTTGAAGCTAAAGTAATTGCACCCTCCTAAAGGTCTGGCATGGCCACTTGAAGGGCCTTCCCTGATCATCCTTGCAAATATGTGCAGATACAGGAGACCCCTCTGCTGGGAGTACTGTTGATGTGGGAGAACTTCTGAATTGTAGCAGTTCAAGTATAAAATGTTTATTAACGCTCAGATCTTAAAAGATCCATACCCAATCTAATATCACAAAAATTAGTATTTTCAAGCAAAATCATATGGTAATTAACTGCCTATGATCCATGACTCTGGTCAATATCTGATAATTAGCCTATACAATTATCAAATAGTATGTGTAATAGAGTTAACTGCATTATTTAAGTTAAGATCTGCGAATCTGAATAATGCAAACTCTACAAGACAACTGTATTTTGCTAGAAGTTGATCATCTTTCTTTACTTCACACATTATAAAATAGTTACTGTGCATAATAGTAATCCTAGCATTTATTAACTTTATGCTTTGGATTAGTAATATACCAACCTTGTCCCAAGATCTCTTTGTTCATCTGTCCAGATCGACCCTTTTCTTTCTTACCAAACAGGCGGCCAATCGAGGATTTGATCCCCTTCTTTTTAGGAGCTTTGTGGAGGGAATCTTGGCTGCTATTACTGCTACTGGGATTGCTTACTTGTCCATCTTGAGAGCCTGTGGAACTGCAGGACAGAAATTGTTAAGCCTTTTCTAAAGTATGCATTACCCATGACCCCTTTGATCTAGGGCCATTCAGTTAATAATTAATAAATACAAATGTATTTAAATGACACAGTACACATTCAGCCTAAATTAAAGGTTTGAGTGCAGCAACTGCAGTACAAATGAAAGCCAAACCACAATTGGCTTTTTAAGTAAATAGACTTGATCTTTATTAAAAATATTGAAAACAGGAACTTTCTAGAACATTTCTGTATTTGTTTGAAAGCAACAGATTACAATATCTCCTGAGTTTCTATCATTTTTTAAACATTTTTTAAAAATTAAGTTCTCCCAGAGATGGTTCCAAAAGGATGCTTTTCTGTTTTTTAACTGGTAAGGCCACCAAAATTCACTGTGATTTATAGGAAAGTTAATGCAGAAGGAAGCAAATATCCTACCCCTGAGCTGTTTAAAGACTTAGGTAAGAATTTTAAATTTTTGTAAAGAATCCTTTTAGATCTTATGATTAGATATTAATTTTAAACAAACATGGAAACACACCAAGTCAGCACTAAATTGAATGGGATTTGTTCCCTAGTACCATGCTTAGCATTGCAGCTTTAGTTTGATATCTGAAGTCATAGAGATTATGTAATTTTAGCCACAAACAGAAAGCGCATATTTTCCATCTTATCAAGGAACGTGAGGACAAAAAATTACATTAGTGTAGGAAAGGGAAGAACAGTGATATTGGGTACAGGAGAGAATAGTGCCTCAAAGAGTGTATCAAAGACTCTAGAAGACAAGCTGCCAACAGAAGTAAAGGCCTGCACAAACAGGGAGTGGAGGAAAGAAAAGGTCAGTGAGAAAGGGAACATTTAGAAAACAGGCAGGAATGCAAACTGGTCTTTGGAGGCCAAAGAAGCAATAATATAACCAGACAAAGTTGTTTTGAATACAGATCTCTATCTCTGTTCAAAACACTTACTTTCGAAGATCTCTTATATCTTCCTGGCTGACTGTATGCAAAGCTCCTTTGTAAGATTTATCCAAATGCAGTGATCGAGGTGAAGATGGTGGTGAGGTCTCACATTTTATTGTAGCTTTGTCATCTCTAACTTCTTCTCTAGAAACTGGAGACTAAGAATGAATGCAACTTAAGTATATTTTGCATCTAAATTAAGATGTAGAACAGACCAGTAATTTTTTAAAATTATTACAAATTTCATAATCTCAGAAATTGCTATTTCCATATGTGAATAGATAAAAGATTATCTGATTCAACAAAGTACACAAAGCTATACAAATAAAGAGATGTGTTTATAGTTTTTTTATCATAAGCAGGTATGATAATGCACAAGAAACCATGTTTCTTGCAACTGAACTCCATATACTTGAAACTGCTTTTGGAAGATCTGAAGAGACTAATTCTGAAGTTAACAGGTAGAATTCAAAAAGATGTTTCACCAGATTTCTTTTTTCTTTAAACTTTCCATAAAATAGAAATTTAGAGATTTGGAGTAAGGTCTTTTTTTTAAGGAAATAATGTTGAAATATCTATGCTATATTCTTTCATTCCCCATGACAAGCCTCACTATTAAATTTCTTTTTAATCTTTTAGGAATATAAGTGGTTTGAAGGTTTCTGGAGCTAAAAGTCAACAAGGCACTTTCAATATGTAATGAGAAGGGGTACAGAATTAGGTCCCATGTTTCTACAGCTAGCTGGCCCAAAGATGGGTAATCAGAGATTAGTTAATGTGATGCTGCCATTGCCCTTTTTAAAGAAACTAAAGCAGAGAAATGGGATGTGAGAAAATCCTTATTCTACATATAGGATTTCAGCCCACACTGAACCTTTTAAATTAAAGCAAGAGCATATAAGTACACTACCCACTTTCTATCTCTGCTTTGAAGAAAAGCTCAGTGGAATGTGCATATCCGGAGAATAAGCAAGCAGTAAAGATGGGCATATAGAAATAATTTGTGTAATACCACTATAGTCGTCATGTTGACCAAGACATTTCACACACATGCATGCAAACGATTGTATAGTACTAGATTCAGCACAAGTTTGCTGCTGAAAGTTTACCTTTCTATGGTATTTCCTTAAATCACTAGGCTGACAGATGCATGCAAAGAAGAGAAAGTAAAATAAAGCAGATTGGTAGATCATTTCAAATTAGAAAGAATTAATATAATTGAAAATGTTAGAAGTTCTATCATTATTTGGGAAAAGCGAAGTAAAATGCCTAGTTAGCTTGTTGACTAAATCATTATCCTAAACAGAAAGTATTTCCATCCTAAAAACATGGCTATAATTGTAGGGTTTTTTCCCTTCTTCTGCAGACCAGTTTAAGTATAATCAACCCTGGAGGTCAGTCTTAAGGGCTAGTAAATAATAGTGAGAATTCCTTAATCAGGAGCACAAGTATATTTGTTACCATTAAAAAAAAAAATTGGATCCTTAATAACTAAACATTTCAGTGAAAATACAACATTTTTGATAACAGGATTCTTGGGGATCTTATAAGACTAAAGACTGAAGCAAAGTTACTGTTCTGGTTCTTATACATAGAAACAAAGAACTGTATGATTTCTCTTACAACTGTATCAACTGTTATAAAGACAAGTTTACTTCAAATCAAGCTTGACTCTTGGTAACTTCATAGATACATTTATGTACAGTAGTTTTCTTTAAATCAAAGGAGAAGTGGTTCCCTGTTGCTTTCTGAGATCCCAATCTAGCCTACTGTCCTGTATTCCGGAGGTCTTCCATGTAAGTACTGATCAGGCTCAACCCTGCTTAGATTCCATGCCCAGACAAGGGGGAAAAAAAAGTTTAGGGCAAGTAGCATTTTGCAAACCATAGCTAAACAACAGAATTCAGAACTTGAGGCCATTTAGGCTGCTGAGTTCCAACCTCTCAAATTAAAGCAAACTGGCATCACTTCCTAACTGTACAATTCAATTCTTAAAGACTTAATAATTATTTTTTTACACAAAATCAGCCCAAATATATTGTAGAATAGCTGGTGGGAATGCTAAAGGAAGTAAACTACATTTCATTAGATATGACATGCTACCAGTTCAGAACATAAGCTATATCTCAGAACAAAAGCCTATCAATTTCTTATAATGAAACAAATCATCTGACTTTCATCATCAAAACATAAAGAGCTAAGTTAGATGGCCATAACCTGGCTTATTAACTGATATGTCTCTTTGTGTGTATGTATACATAAACAGGTTTTAGTTTGTGCACAGAATCTTTTTGCTTTTTGGCATAAACTATGATTAAAGAAGTAGTCACCATTAAGACTACCAGCTTCAGAACTAGCTTTCTTATTCTTACAAGACAGGAAAGCATGGTTAGGAGTTCCTGTTTTATATTTGTAGCTAAGGGATAAACTAAGGAGTTCTATTTACAAACAGTGCCATAAAGTCAGTGGCACAGTACTAGAGAAAAAAGATGAAAAAGGTAATACTTACTAGTGTCATAATTCCTAGTCTGTCCACTTCTCGAGCAGGACTGTGTGGCATTCTTCGGGGAGTAGAAAGTCCACTACCTGGTGGAGAAGAGCCAGAAAGGTTCCCACCAGGAAAGGGAGGTGGGATAGAGTTCATCGATCGAAATCGACCAAGATTGTCTAAATTCCCACCATCAACACGACTTTCTATCTCCTCTGCTCTCTGCTCAGTGTTTTCCTTTTCTTCTTGGATCAATCTAAAGAATTAAGAAATGATGCAGTTCATTTAACCAAAGCAAAGCTGTAACCAACAAGCAGAACAGAGAAATAGAGAACCCTTGCACTGGGGGCGTGGGGGAGTGGTAGCTCAGACTCGTCTTCACAGACCAGCAGCAACTGTGCCTGCTGGTTACTGGACAGCTCCACCTCCTCTGTCTGCAGCTCCTCTGGCTGGGAGGAAGAAAGGGAGTTGGGGAGGAATGGGATTGTGGTTATAATGGGCAACAGGAGGTATGACAGGACACTGAAATAGGTCTGTAATAGCTTTTGATACCAGCAACCATTATATCCTTCAGACCATCTCTGAGGAAATGGAGTGAAGGGATCATCTTGTAGCTCTTCTCCTTCCAGAAGGGTGAGTTCCAGTTGTTGTTGGTGGGTGAGGAGAATTTTTTCTGGAAAACTCTACTTTGTCGAGTGCCTCAGATCTCTCTCCTCCCTCTACTTTTTCATTTCTGTATGAACCCACTGGAAGAGATCATCTCCCAGCACAGCATTTGGTATCATCAATATGCTGATGACACCCAGCTATAGATCTAATCCCCAGGCCAAACAGGTAAGTGGTAGAAGAGCTAACACAGTCCCTGGAGGCTGTCTGTATGGGGAGGAATAGGGTTTGAATGAATCTCTCCTAGATAGAGCGGCTTTAGCTTTGTAGGGTAACAATTCCAGGAAAATTCAGTCTTTGACTCTGCACAAGGTTGTACTTCTCCACTCAGAGATGGGTTCTCCTAGACTTACAAGTCCTGTTTGAAGTTGCCAGATTGAAGGTGCCAGCTATGGCTCAGAGAGCTTTTGCACAATTACAGCTTATGTGCCAAGTGAGACTTCTGCACTGGGGGGCCCTGCTCAGTCACTCATGCCTTTGTAACTTCCTGTTTGGACTATGTATCATGAGGCTGGCCTTGAAGAGCATCTGGAAACTGCAGTGGTGGCCCAGGCAGTAAGGGGTGTATCTTGACATCCCCAGGTGAATCTGCTGCTTCCAGAACTGCACCGGTTACTTGTTGGCTTTCAGGTACAATTCAAAGTACTGGTTGTCATCTTTAAGGACCTACATGACCTGGTTACCTGAGGACTGTCTTCTCCTGTCTACTGTCTCCATGTCCCGTCTTTCCAGAGTTGTCACTTGATGGGGCCAGGAGGTAGCATTTCTCAGTGGCTGCCCCCATTCTTTGGAATTCCCTCCCAGTCAAAATTCTAGAAATTCTTTTTCATTTTTCCTAGGCTTCAAGAAACCTTTAAGACCTACTTGTTTTATCTTGCACAGAAGGATGGTGCCCTTTGACTGGAAGGTGGGATTACAGGCACATGGTATTTTGATTTTTTTTAAAAAAATGTATTTGGGGGGGTTTGGGGGTATTTTATCTATTTACACTGTTAGCTGCTTAGAGCCTATGCAAATGGGCAGGGTACAAGCATTGCAAACAAACAAACAAGGTAGTCCTGTTTTATCCCACTGAAATTTTGAACTTAAGTTAGTGAAAAAAGTTATTGATAGCTAACTCATGATTTCAACCCATAAAATATTAATTTAGTTTGCGTATTTCTGATAAAATGCACATTTCAGTCTGTATTTAGTTATGCTTATTCTCCAGTTTTAAATACTGTAAGTTTCTTGCAAACTCTTTTTCACTATTTAATACTAACAAAAATAACTAAGCTGTGGCTGACATAGAATTGGATCTTAATATTTTTAGTTGCACCCACAGATCAAGAAACTACAGTTCAAGCCACTGAAAGGAAGCCAAACTTTTAATGTTACGCAAATAAAGACATTAGTGAACTTCAAATGTAACACTGGAAGGTAATGACAAAAATATATCTTGTACCTAATTTCTTTGTTGATGGCATCCAATTGCTCCTGAAGCATCATGGCTAAGGTCTGGGCATCTGCCTGACCACTAGGTGACAAGAGATCAACTGAGCTGAATATAGTTTCTGTGTCATCCTCACCATCTGAGATATCAGCATCACTCTCAAAGGCTTGTGCAACATTTGCCAACACACTTGCTTGTTGTGCACGTTCCCAATCTTGTTCATTAAGAGTCTGAACCTGTTTAATATACATGAACACAACTGTAATTTTAAATATCTCTTCCATTAAAAAATATAAAGTCTGTATAACCTCACTTACATGCTGCAGTAATCCATCAAAACAGCAGTATTTAGAATGCAATAAAACCAAAACAGAAACATGATTAGATGATATTCACAGGACATATGATCAAAAATCATACTATACTATACTATACTATAGTATAAATTCAATACTATAAAATAATCAAAGATTGTTCAATTACTTGGAAAGGCTTATTTAAGAACTTTTGTACAGGTAGTTTTTAATAACAGAAAAAGATATACAGATTAATACCAAAGGTTTCTAGAGCTTGGCTTACTGAAAATGAATCATGTACCAGTGGAAACTGTCTGATTCCTAGTTGGTTACTCCATTAAAAAATACTTAGTGTGTCAACCATTGCCCCAATCCTGGCTTTTTTCTCCTTTATAAGGTAGAATTCATAGGCCGAGACAAGTCTTATTTTATATCCCTGGTTTGTAAAGAGGGAACAAAGCAGGATTGGATGATTTACTAAACAAACCACACATGCAACTTGGTCTTGATAAACCAGAATCCATTAGAATCCCAGTTTATATGAACACAGCATACAGGCTGGATCCAGATTTCCCTGATCAAAGTTTCATTTAAGGGCAAGAGAAGTGGGAGACAATTTTTAGTAATTCCTCCAATGCTTTCCATGACACTTGAAAATGTGCTGGCCTTCCAAAACAATGTAGGAGTCTGTTGAGGGAACAGGGAATTGGTAAGTATCAACCCTTTTCTATCCTCTAGCAGGAGCCAAGGCTGGATCTGACTCTATTCCACAAAGGGAAAGAGTTTTCAAGTTGTGAAATAGTAAGTCTAGATCCAGCCTCTATGCAAATGCTTTGTGATGTAGTGGTGAAGCTGTTGGACTAGTACCTGGGAGATCAGATTCAAGTCTACCCACAGCCATGGAAGCTCACTGGGTGATTTTGGGCCAATCACTATATCTCAGCCCAACCTACCACACAGGGCTGGTCTTGTGGAATAACAGTAGGAGGGAGTGCTATGTAAGCCGCCTTGAGCTCCTGGAGAAAAGGCAGGATATAAATGAAAGAAACAAAACAGTGGGTGGAGGAGAACCATCCTAAACTGAACTGTCTCTGTTTCTAGTTTCTCAATAAACAATGTTGAAGCCAACTGTCTTATCTGTTTAGTGCTACAAACAAAGTTCCAATCCAACATTTAAAACCAGCTGCCCAGCTTTGAGGCTGGATGCAGGAATCTATGATAGTTTATCAAGCAAAAGTTCCACATAAATCTTACTTCTGTAGATGGACTAAGGGAAGAGGAATTTTGCATAATTAATAGAAAACATTATGAGTTATTAACGTGTTAGCCTCATTTAGTTCATGAACTGATATATGACTATAAATGCATATGTGCATTGAACTCTTTATACATTTTTGCTTTTGTTAAGGGGTTATATTTTGTAATTCATATTCTTATCTGCATCATGCATCAAGACTTGCACATAACAAATGCATGTACCTGAAACATATAGTTTTCAATTTTATGGCAAAAAAGAGCCACATGGAATATTATTTACTTTAAAATAAAGATGTTTCAGGGCAACTATTCTACAAATTTACCCTTCCCCCTGCAATATAAAACAATAAAAGCAACAGTAGCACAGCCCGAACCGCTTATACAGAAGGATATTACCATAATTATAGACCCAGGTAAATAAGCAGGCAAATCTTTGAAGACTTATATCGATGACTGAATCAGTTCAGTCTAGTGGTTAAGACAACAGACTAGAAGTAGTAAAACCTAGTCCTGCCTTAGGCAAATAAACCAACTGGGTGATTTTTGAGCCAGTCACTTTTTCTTAGCCATAGGAAGAAGACAATGGCAACCACTTCTGAAAATGTTGCCTAAAAAGACTGACTTGAAGGCAAATTAATAAATAAGTATTTTTAAAATGTTGTACTAGCTTAAGCTATTTTCAAAATAATTTGTTTTAATTCCAACTTACCCTTGAAGGCTCATCTCGCAGAGCTGCTAAACGTCCTTTTTGTGGACGCCTTAGAACTGAGGTGCTATAGGAATCTGTCTGATTGTCTGCTATAACTGAAGGTGCCAGTGGATATCTAAAATCTGGTACACTACCTAAATGCGGCCTACTGAAATAAAAACAGATGTATGTTTAGCATTAATAATCATTCTCCTATAGGTTTCAATAAGTTAGATTAATTAATTCAGCACATCTTGAACGCATAAGTATTTTCATTAATAATATATACCTATGATGAAGAGGAGGAGCTCTGATCCTCATTTGATCATTTTCAGCTCTTATTGCTTCAATGTTTACTACCAGCTGATCCTGCAGAAAAGAAATATTATTTGTATAATTTAATGTTACCAGTGCATGCTTTTTCAAATATATCCAAATACTTTAGATAACACTAAATTTCAAATTTGAATGTCTTTTGAATAAAAATTAAAATATATCATGTTATCGTCCAAATACCCTAATAATATTCTTTTATTATTGTTGGTATGGCTCTGAATAATCTACTGGTTTATCAAACATAGGCTTTGAAAAAAGATTAATGAAGCAAAAGAATTAAGACCCCCACAATCAGTTATAGTTTTGATATCAATTAAAAAAACACATAATTATAAGCCCAAAACCAAAAAAAAAAATCCACCAATTGTGCATAATTGTAATGCACGATTATCTTTGGACTACTGCACTACACTTTGCATGAAACCTTTAAAATTATGGAAAGTGAAATAATATTGCTAGTGCAGAAATCACTGCAACAAACAGACATAATTTCTTAAAACTTCACAAAAATAAGATCCTCATTTCTAATTTTTTAAAAAATTACATGACCATTAAGTAGAAAACATTTTTTATTTTCATCTAATACCTTTTCATTTTGAAGCTCCTCCACTTGTTTCTTGGCACTTTCAATTTCACGGAGAAGGGAATTCTGGTATTAAATTCAATTCAAAAGTTCGTTAATACAAAGAAGTGTTAAGATCCAGGTCTACATTTTAAAAAATTACTGTATTATTTATTTTACTATTTTACTCTGATACTCATTTGGCTACTTAATTCTGCTCTAGTTAATATACACACTCTTTGCACTCTTTCTCCTGAACAAGATCCTATGCTTTCTACTTATTTAAAAATTATATAGACCATTATTCATTTCTTGATCCACAGATGCTAGTTTTACAACATTAAATAGAAGATATTTTAAAAAATCATAAACATCCAAAGTTTCAGGATAGCAGGATACATAATTCAGTGCATTATATAAAGAGAGGTAATTACTTTTTGCTGCCAATCAGAAGGAGAGATTGTAGCACTAGATTGTCATCACTTTTATCTATTAACAGCTGGGTAAACATACATACATACATACATACATATACAATCATAGTATGTGTTTGTATTGCTATTTCAAATGTGTTTTATCAATCAGTAAAGCAGCTATTGCACTTGAAGCAATATTCGTTCATATTTAAAATTACTTTATCTTCCAGAGCTGCCATTCTTTCTTTAAGGTGAAGCTGAAGTCTCTCATTAGATTCAGATAAAAGTTTGTCAACTGTATCAGATAAACGTTTATTATGTTCTTCATTCATTTTTTCTCTTTGACGAGCCTAAATAAGAGAAATGGGAGGGAAGAACAGTAAAAAATAAATAAATAAATAAAAGGATTAGCAATACAATTTTTCGCATATTTACATGTATAAACCTACCTCAACCCTGGCTTTTTATTTTCTTTCACTTTTTATTTTCACCATTCTCTAACAGGATTTATCTCTGTCTTTCCAAACATGATAGCTAGCATTTTATTTCATGACCATCTGAGCCAACTTTTGTGAAAAGCCACATAAAGCAACAGACTGGTAGAAATGATGAGCATTTGTCCATATAGTCACCAGATGTCAGTCCTGACCCAAATGAAAACAGTTGTGTGATTTTTAATATTTAGTTAACTTTAGTTGCAGGCAGTTGATTTTGTTCCAAGAAGCAACTCATCTCTTAGTGCTATCTAATTTTGTCTTTTACAGGTATTTCATGTATTCTGTTAGACAAGATTTACCTGTCTATTTAAACTTCATGTGGATTAGTAAGTTATATTTTCCTCTGCCAACCTGAAATTCACCATTGATTTTTTATGGCAGAGAAAAGAGAGAGAATGTCATCATTGTATTGACATACCCTTAGCAGTTCTTGATTTTTCTCTTCTAGCTGTGTTTCCATTTGTCTCAATCGTTCTTCAATGTTTCCATGTCTTTCTTCAGCCTGCCATTTTAAATGATATTGGTAATTAGAATCTAAGAATGCATCAGAAGAAAAATATTAGCAAACAAGCATATCATGCTGTATGAGACTGCTATTTTTGTTCACGCACTGCAAAATGTTCAAGATATATTACTGCCAATGCTGGCAAAACACAGTGGATGGATTCATGCATCAAATGAGCAATTAATTTTCTCACCCCACAACATCTTGCTATGATGACTGAAGCAACAGGAAGTCTTGACAAAAGAGATATCTTTGCATTATGCATCTCAGAAAAAAATACCTCTATTATCTTCCCCACATTCATTTTAATGTGTGAAGTTTTTTTTTAAACAAGCAGTAGCAAGCAGAAATAAGGACTTATGCCCATTGTGTAAATTCTACCTTCCTAGACTTGGAAGTATATTCGAACAGATTAACATCTTTAGTTGCAGAATTCCGAGAAGGCAAACAGTCAAGCTACAAAAGTAAATAAGGAATAGGAATGGTAGCAAGAAAAAACAAAATGAAATGTCAACAAGAGCTTACTTTTAAATAATGGATATAAAATTGCTTGAGTACATATTTTATTCCACTAAGAACTGGAGAAAGATTTCATAAGGTAGTATTCAAATCAGGCACAAAAATCTATTCAAACACCTTCGAAGCAATTAAAAACAATGAACTGCTATATCAAAGGATCAGAAAGCAAAATAAACAGAGACTAGATCAGACCATTTTAATGACTTCGGTAAAAAAAGAATTGTAAATACAAAAAGAAGACCTAAAGGATCAAGAACCAACTGTTTCTACTAAAGAGAAGATTATGATAGCAATATATATCATAACTCTCAGCTTACCTTAGTAAGTGCAGCAACTCTCTGAGCCAACTCAGCCTCTACCTCTGGCAGAGTTTCAGCTTTTCTCAGAGTTTGCTGCAATTTTTGTTCAGCCAGTTCCAGTCGTTCTTGTAACTGCCTATTCTTATCTTCGCTCTAGAAGCAAAAATAAATTTGCTTGTAACAACAGCTGCAGACATTATACCGTGTGCCATTTCAATAGCTTTCTCCATTAGCGAAAGAAACTTGTGAGCAAATTGATGTGTGAGATCATACAGAACAGCTCTTATACAATCACTGAAATTATATACAACACAACACTCAAAAGCAGATTCATAAACATATATGAAGATTACAAAATGTACTTTATTTCTGGTATTAAAAATATCTGATTTCTCATTAATAGGGAATAATAAAAAATAAAATTCCACCACAAATTAAAGGTTCCTTTTAATATTAAGTTAGGACTCCTTCAATATACTTTTTCCACAACATAATGCTACTAAATTACCTAGAAAACTGTTACAGGGGAATGAAGGAGATGTGGTACAAAAAGACTTCCTTTGGTATTCTTCCCTATACACATACAAAATCTGCTGAAGAAGGTCAGAACATAACTGGAGTGGATTTAAGGGGACCACAACAAGGAGGCAGAACTTGTTCTACGAGGGATGCTCATTCTACTATACAGTCTCAGGGTATAGAAGTTATCATTTAGGCCACAGCCAGATATATGCTGTCCGATATGAGCTCTAAACTGAATTTTTGAACTGACTGTATCTCCACTGCATTAAATACTTTAAAATATTTACAAAAACACAAGATGTGTCCCACATGGTAGAGTATTCCAGGTCATATTCCTTCCCTAACCTTTTTGGTTCACTGGATACATTTGGAATTTTAAGAAAATTAGCAGTGCCCTGCTGGATCAGACCCCTGGCCCATCTAATCCAGCATTCTATTCTCACAGTGGCCAACCAACTGCACAAGGAAGCTCACTAGTCTGCCAACAGATGGCCTTCAAAGGCTGTCGCACTGCCACCAAGGCTAATACCCATTGATCCTCATGACTTCCATGAATTAGTCCAACCCTTTTTTGAAGCTAGTCAAGCTGGTAGCCAGCACCACATTTCATGGTAGTGAATTCCAAAGTTGAATTACACATTGTGCAATGCAAGAAATACTTTCTTTTGTCTGTCCTCATTCTACTGGGATTCAATTTCACTGGGTGAAACTAAACTTTTGCAAAAGTGTTATGGATGCCACTGCAAAATATTTAAATTCCTGTTCATAAAATGGATGTTATGGAGGTAGTCACAAATGAAGCAAATTGTTTTATAAAATGCAGATTTAGACAAAAAGACTCACCAAAAACCTGAGTACAAGGCAAATAAAATCCCAAATAAAAATATCACACAGATCTCATAATAAAAAAAACACAAATTTAATGCACCATTCCATGCAAACCCTAACCTTCATAATTCACCTCCACACTATCCAGCCCTGATGGTGCTATATCTCCTTCATCCCCAAGCCTTCCAAGATTGCAGCACTGCAATTGGTGGAAAGCAATCACCACATCATTCCTGCTCCTTCAAGCTTAGGAGGCCTGCAAGTTCCATCCTGAAAACCCCAGGAATAGCCCTTCCCTGAAGATCTCCTCAGACTACCAAAGAAGAGGCCTTTTCTGGGGGGGAGAAATATAGAATATGGAAAGGACGCAATCTTCTTATAGCTATAAAGCCAAGGGCAGAGGGCAGTGGAAAACATGGGAGAATCCCCACTTTTTTCTGGGTTTTCACATTTAAGTCTTCCCTTTCCTTTCCACAAGGGATTTCATCTGTAATTTAAATTTTCAAAAACATGAGTAACAAATTTGCATAAATTTTATCCATGTCAAATTAGCTTGAATTACTGCACTCTACCCCTCTCCCAATCTAGAACTTTTAGTATTAATTTATGGAAGGCTCAAAGTATTATTTAAATAACAATTTTACCTGTCGGTGCAATGAATCTTTATTAGCAATTTCATTTTCAAGTTTATCATTGAGATCATGCACAGATGTAGCTTCACGTTGTGCAGCGAGGTAGCGTTTTTCAAGAGTTGTAATTCTTTCTTCCATATCTTCCTTCTGAGCCATTGCCTAAATTATTAAGATTGTCAGAAAATTATGGAAACATGTACATTCTCTCTCCATTATGTGCTTAATAGGTTGTCTTAAAAATATGTTTAATAGTTTGTCTTATATAAACACAAGGGGATAATTTAAAAAACCATGTGGGATAGAATTTGTAACAACTGCAGCTTTCTTTTATCTTACACATCTCTTAAGAGACTGCAAACTGCTAGTTATACTCAAAATGTTCACCATTAAAAGTGCAAACATTCCAAATATATAATTTACTTTTGATATTGAGGAGTATTTCAAAAATAGTTGCATTTGGAAACAGAAATAAGCTAATTAAAGAAAACTCCCAAAAATTCCATGGGAGAAGGGAACCTCTTTAGTCCCGAAATATTATTTTAAACCTTGTATATGTACGAAGTCTTCTTAAAAGGAAGCTCACTTAAGAGGGGGACCTCTTTCTTTCAGGATCCATCAGTAATTACATTACTGAGCTGGCCAATCTCAGACATAAAAGTATCAACAGATCTGAACATGCAGAATTATCAGAATCAAGCATTAATCTATGTGATCACCAAACTATGATTCATACGGCTTATAAATCCAGAACAATAGGGTTTTTAATCAAAAGAAACACAACTATAAGTGCAGATATAGTTTGAGGCTGAGAACCTATTCATATAGATGATGGAAATATCCAGCACTTAGTGCTTACATCAGGCCACAAGAAATGCTTTAGCTCATGGGGCAAACATGTACACAGAACAATGAATATAATCGATTAACTTAAATCATATTAAAAAGTGATTTATTCTCACCTCTCGTACATCTCTTTGCAACTTGGTATTCATTTCTTCAGATTTTATTAGATCTTTTCTAGCAGTATCAAGATCTTCTTCCAGTTCTGTTACTCTGTTAGAAAGGGCGGTGATCCTCTCTTTCATTTGTGACTGCTCCTTAGTTTGCTTTTCTATGACATCTTGAAGTTCTATTACTTTAGCAAGATCTTCATCATGATTCAGAGAGCCATTGGAAGATCTCTATTTAGAGGAGGAAAAAGCTACTGTTAATTTAAAAAACGTTAGCACCATGAGAGAATAAATATATGCCATATAATTTTTCATTTCAAATCACTAATTCAAGGGAGAAGAAAAGAACTAATAGCTTGTTCTTACTACTTTTCAGGAATTTTTTTTCACTATAGACTGGAGTTTTGGTCCTAACTCAGAAATTCAAGAACCAGTCCATAACATGTTTATCTGAAAATTGTATTTCTCTTATCACTTGAACATCCTCTATAAAAGAAGGATATGTGGATCAAGGGATCAAGAAAACCACACATTGAAATAGCTTACTTGCTCTTTTTTCATTAGAATGGTTTGGAGAAATAACTGAGATTGCTACATCATAAACAGATTTCTTCCTCTCAGAACAATGAGTGAAAAGGCCCATGAAAAGATGCTTTAAACCTACCTTCCCATTAGTGCTAGGTATATTCTCCTGATCATGATTAATATCAGGCATTCCATCAGCTTGTGTTCTTTTTTGATTGTTTTGTTCTTTCAAAATCATTAACTGGAATAAAAAATTAAAATATTACACTAATGGTCATGCTAAATTACTTTTGAAATAGAAAAAGAAACTTTTAACAAATATTATTTGCAGTGATAATATTCCCAAATTTTTAAAAACTACATTCATGAATGGATAACAGTGATAGATATACTAGAACCCTTGGTTTTAAAGAATTATGACCAATTCCTATAGTCTATTTAGAAGATATTCATCCAGTAACAAGCCTGCCTTTAAAAAGATAATACAAGAAAACGCTTTCCATAACAATAAATCAGCAACTGTCATATATTTAATTAGTAAACAAGATTGGTCAACTGGCTTTTAAGGTAAGCTAAAACATTTCCACAGGAAGTATCTGCTAGTGAAGACTCATTCGCTGATGAAAAAGGACTCCATAAAAAATTAATAGCTGCAGTTGTGAATCTGCAAAAGGGATTTTTAGAATTCTGGAAAAGATCACGAAAGTGGTAGTAGCAGCTTGCATACTTCACTGGCTGCAAACAGGGAAATATCAGGGAATGCCTTTCTAGTCTGGTCATCTAGAAGGGCCTGCTGAAAGTCTCCCCTTTTTGCAACATGAACAACACAGAAGGTATTTTCTGTAGTAGTCCCGAGTCTGTGGAATATCCTCCCTGCAGAAGTACATGCAGTCCCAATTGTATTGTAATTCCATAAACAAGTTAAATATGTTTTATTTCAATATGCCCTTACTCACCTGATTGAGGGTGTCTACCTTGGATTTTGATTTTGATTTTCCCAGGCCTTTTATATTTCCATTTTGAAAGAATTAAAAAAACAACAACACAAGACACTACAAAGGAAGGTAGCAATCTTACCCGTCAAATCTCTCTCACATACTCCCTAAAGGCCCACAGTTTTGGTCCCACCCATTTCAGTTAACTTATGATATCACTAGCCATATTTCCCATGGCCCCCAGGAGGGCAAAGAAATTGCAGAACAGCCCAATTGCAAGAAAGCTTTCCCTTCCCTTCTTAGAACCTGTGCAAAGCTGACATCCTTCAGAACTAGCAGACTGATTTAATTTAATGGAAATAACCTACCTCTTTGTGCGTAGTACCTAGTTCTTCCTCCAACAAGCTACATCTTTCAAGTGCTACTCGTAATCTTTCTCTTACCTAGGGGATTAAAGTTAAGATGTGAATGCCACACAATTCTGCTAAGCATTACATGCTGAAATATTCAGAGGTTTTGACTGTCAAGAATAAACATATATCAGTAATGTCGGTGAGCGGGGAAAAATCTTATAAATAAAATAAAATATCAACACATTTCCTGTGACTGAAACTATCAAGACCACATGATTAAGCAAAACTGATAACAAGCCATTATGCATTTCCTATTACTTTTGGTGGCAATGTTTCTGCAACAGAAAAGATAATGGGGTAGACAATCTGGTATCCTTTAGATATTTTGGACTAGTCATATGGAAGCTATAGTCCATCGTTAGAAGAACTGGACTACCCCCTCCGCCCCAATAAGTTAAATGCATTAATTGTCAGAGCAGAAATTTAAACTAATACCAATACAGACGTATTAGTTGTGATTTCTGTCATGTACTACAGCAGAGGCAGCACTAAGCTTTGCCTGAATAGAGATGGAAGGGAAATATTTATTTTCATTTCATTTGATGATTTAGATCAACTTACAACATTCATTTTGCACTTTCCTCTGTTGATGTACAAAGAAAACAAATTACACAAGCAACAGATGTTTAATTAGTCTACACTCTCAATTTTTTAAAACTTATATTGAATGAAAAAATAAAGAACTAATTTTACACTAATAATACCTGTTTTAACTTATGTACTGGACTTACTGTACACTAAGCAGAGTCTTCCTGGAGTTGGGCAGCCTTAACAAATCCAGTAAAATAAATAAATAAAAATAAACATTTCATGATGAAAAAAACATTAGTAATCATTTACTTTAGCAGCTATCTTTCATTACCTTTTCATCAAGGGCTTTGTGATGTTCAAACAGAGACTTCAGTGCTTTGAGAACTTCAACTTCACTAGAAACACCTGCTGGAGATTGAGCTTGTCTTTTTACTACAGTCATTCTAAGAGACCGCTCATGCCGGGAGACAAGGCATTCCAAATGTTCTAGTAGTAACTGAAAATCAAATGCAATTATATGAGAAAAAGAGTAGATACTGAACTGAAGAAAATTATTTTCAAATAACACACTTCATGCACAGTGACAATACTGCATACCTTAGCCAGCAAATTTTATTATGAAAATAGAATGAGATATCAGTTAAACAATTAACCAATAAATACACTGTTCAATTCCAGAATGATTTTTTTAAAAAGGTGACAACATAATTACAAATGAAAAAAACACAGCAACTTAATATACTTCTTCCAAGTCAGCTTAGCCCAGATAAAAGTCAGCAATCTATTTTCACAAGTATGAATATATACAGATATTAATGACTATCTCTCTCCCATGGGCTCAACATTTTATAAGGGTATTTACTAAGGTTAGAAATTTATATGATGTTTTGAAACCCCTACTGCTTTTTTTTCTGGATTTCAGGTTCAGAAATAGTTACTTTTTGTCCATTTAATCACATTTGTTTCAGGAAAGCTCCAGAACTGTAGTGAATTAATCTCAAAGCCTTCTCTATAAGAACAAGTCATGTGGACTGTAACTAGATCTACAGTAATGATCTGCATGTTAATTTATCAGTGAGAATGACAGATACAAGTATCACTTTTGTTTCTACTTCTCTGTAAACATATGCAAGTTATACCCATTGTCAATATTATTTTTGAAGCTCAACATAGCTTACAGAAAGAATTGCACTTTCATAATGTACACAGCAATCTATTCATTATTCAGAACTATGAAAATCTAATCTTTCATTTTTCCCGATTTTTTAAAAAGCAAGTATCATCCTAGTCCTTAACTCCTATTACTAATTGGTGTCTAAAGACTAAGCGCACAAAAAGTTGTTCATCTAACACTAAACCTCAGTGATCCAATGAAAAAAGGAGGTATGTTTATGTTTATCTTCTTGGGCTATATAAGAGAACATGATAATCTTAAATGTTCCTGATTTGGTTACTGAAGTCATAATTTGCCTTAAAACCAGAAAGGAAAATCACATCACCATATGCAATGATAATATAAGCATGCTACAGAGCAACCAAAGCATTATTTGGTTTTGTATGCTTAGAGATGTCCGTATCATCTACATAATTTTTGAATTTTCTACAGAATACTATAAATACAGCAGACATGTATCCATGCTATAAGGTCTGAACTGGCTTTACCTGTTACAGAAGAACTTCGTTGCATCACTTTAAAGTGAGTGATCTTGGGGGAGGAGGTGTTTAAAGGTTAAATATTCATATTACCACATAACATATGTGTGTGCGTGTGTGTTAATAATTAGTTGTAATCACCAGAAGCTTTTAAGAGTCCATAAGGACATGAAAACTTTGATAGGGAAGCACATAATCATGCATACTTCTGCTACATTCCCATCTTTTTTTTAATCTGAAGTAGCTTGGTTTCTTTATCCCATGCCCTTTTATAAGTGGTACATTTGAAAAGAACAAAAGGATGCCATTTAAAAAATAGGTAAATTCCAAAATATTTGTTAGATTTGTAAGATTTGAATATATCATCTTGAACACTTTTTTTCAATAACATATTTCTAACTCTAATTCCTTTAGATAAGTAGAAATTGTTCAGAAATGATTTACCAGCAAATTTTGTGTTTGATAGATTCCAGGTTTCACAAAAGTATCAGACAGTGCATGTAAATCATGGATTGCTAATACCTGCTTTAAATTATTTTGCATTCATTAAGTAGTGATGCACCCAATGACAGTGTAAATTCATGGCAGCCAATTCAGTTTACCTTTCTGATATATGTATTGTGTAATGAAAGCCTGAATTAATAGGTTGGGCTAGCGACTGCAAGGATCAGCTTTTAGTCTCTTTAAAAAAGGCAGTTAAAGGATTACTGAGAGATTATGCATTAATGATCTGCAGTTAGAAAGTCAACAGATTTGGAGTATGAAAAGCTTATTTAATAACATGGGAACAAACTACCCTATAGTAGTATGTCTGCAAGATAAAATACACACTCTTGGTACACTGAATGTTTTTCTCACTAGGTGGAAGTAGCTGTTTTTAAAATTCACACACATGAGTAGAAAAACTAATAGTTCTATTCACTTAGTGATGTCTTCAGTTTGAAAAACAAAAGCAAGACTGCATGTAAGATGCCATCTCAAGAAAAATTCCTAGCATAAAATGCAAACAAATGATACCAGAAGATGAACTGACTCTTGTATTGTTCCTTTCTGCTTTCAGTTCTGCAATTTCTTCTTCTCTTTCAAGGAGTTGCTCTCTGCATACATTAAGCTCTTTAGTAAGTGCTGCGAACTCCTAGAAAATATAAGCAAATAATGAGTTCATTATGTACAGCAATATGCATTATACACAAGAAGATAAACTTTGGTTGAAATTATACTAAAACAAAATACTATCCAGGGTATCTTAATATCACTTCTAGCAATCATGATTATTTTTTACAGACCAATACTCAGCACTAGCCATTCTATTTTGGTTAATTCTTAGATGAAAAACTACCAGTGAATCCTCAGTAAGTAATGGTAGACCACTTCTGTATTCATGCCAAGAAAACAGCATAGTTCTGTTTATGTAGTCACTTGGACTCCATCTCAGTTTAAAGGCATATTTATGTTTTTATAGAATACTAATGCTAATAATAATCTTAAACTCACACCTACTTCTAAATAAACTGAATTCTATTATAAGAAGCTGCATCATAAATAACAGCACAAATAGTACAACTTTGAATATGATTACATCTTGGGACAGAATTCTTTGTTCTATCTACTGTACAAGACTCAGCTCTACATCTGCTGGTTTAAAACAGGGTATGACCTCTTGCAAAAAATAGTGGCAGAAATTATACAGTTAATATCAACATCCTCCCAGACAAACTCAAGAAGAAGCAGGAGCTGGAAGTCAATGAGAAAACTTTTCCCATAGTAACTCATAGAGAGTGAGCCATCCGAACTCATTCAATGAGCTGTTATAGCTGAGAGTGGATTGGAACCTAGATCTCTCCAGTGTCACTTTAAATACCATACAGGCTGAAATGATATATTCTGGATTTTGTCCTCCACTGAATCAAATAATATAGAAATATATTACTTTCAGGGGAAAAGGGTTAAAAAAGGAAGAAAGAAGACTTGGAATTCACAATTTGCTACATGAAATGTCTAATCAGTCTCGCTTTCTGAACTTGTATATTATTATTGTTGGTTGCACAGTCAGCCAGATGTTTAGACTGGATTTGGCATTTTTATCCATCTATCGAATCTTTCCTAAGGACCTGGGATAGGCAGGTGTCTGATGGTGTTAAAGATATTGTTGCAGGATGTAAGCTGTTCCAAGTAAAGCTATCTTTTGCAATTGGTGATTTTGTCAATGCCAATGGCATTCAAGGGGTGTTCCAGATGTTTTGGGACTGTACCTAAGGCGCCCATAACTATTGGTACTAACTTTGCTTTCTTTTGCCATAGTCGTTCTACTTCTATTTGCAGATCTTTGTATTTTGTTATTTTCTTCAGTTCTTTCTCTTCTCTTCTGCTATCTCCAGGTATTGCAATGTCCGCTATCCAGACTTCTTTGTCTTTTTTATCAACAATTGTTAAATCTGGAGTATTGTGTGGCAGGTGCTTGTCTGTTTATTATTATTATTATGGTTGGTCGCAAAACCCCAAGGACTCCGTAAAATAATCTGAACAAACATAGCTTCAAAGAAACAGGCTCTTACCTAGTTTTAAACTAAGCTTGAATAAAATTAACTTACCAGTTACTACCTGAAAGTAATCTATTTGGCTCCAATAAACTCTACTTTTGCATAAACCAGAGTTAAAAGTGCCACCACTTAAGCAAGTAAGACCATGAACTGAAACATAATTCATATGATTGTCAGAATATACATCAAGGTACAACAGTATTGTGCAATATACAGTTTTCCCTCTATGCCAAAATGCATATTTTGTCAGAACTACCATAATCCTCATGATAGCAAAAAGAAAACCAATTTCTGTTCTTTGTTTTAGTAAGCAGAGGCATCTATAAACAACATCTTTATTATGATGTGATTTTACACCCATGGCTGTCATCGGAGTACTGTAATATGTACAAGCAAGCCCATTTACATATTGTTTTTGGTTTAAATTGAGATGTTTATCTTAGAAGTAGTGTAGAGATTTTTCTCAGAAATGTAACTGCTATGCAAATGAAAATGAAGAGAATTGTAAGTACAAGTTTTCCTAATAAAATATATTTATGATGGAAGATGGCATTCTTCTAAGTACTTGCTTAGAATGTATAGAATGAATTTAGGCATGTATATTGAAAAAATGTACCTTAACAGAAGCAAAAAATGGGCCTAGTATTTTCCAATTTCTCATCACTGTTATTAACATTTATGAAATCTACATAAAACATATGTTGTCGACTGATGCTTTTGAAAAATAAATTTAGAATTATTGTGATTTCAGTAAGGTTCTCTAAGAAAGCAGGAGTCCTTCTGTATCCAAATATTTTTCCAATACAAAAGCTTAGTATAAATTACTGGAAAATTATACTACTACTACTTGAATGAATTTAAATAAACTTCCCACTGCTTTCTGACGCCATATTGGAGACAGTCATCTGTCTGAGAGTACTACGTAGATTTACACCAGATGCATCAGTCTACTACTTGCAGATGCTTTACATATTTTTCTTTAATTAAACTTCTGGCTTTATCCTTACAGACAAAAATAAGCACATCTCTTAAACTATTCTGAGAACACAGGGATACAGATTGTATGTGTCTATAAATACATGTTTGAATATTTTAGAGAGGAATAGCAAATCATGCTATTAATAAGAATATTAAATATACAGTTTGGATAACTCCAGGAAATATTACATTCTCAAAACAATCTTTCCCACATTTTCCAGCCATAGTCTGTTTATATTCCATGCTTATGAATTTCTATATCACTTTTCAGCATGCATTCTTATGTTATTATAGCATTATGTCCATTTTTTAAAAGCATCAGCACTGAAAGTATTCATCAATGTAATTCTTCTAGGATTGATTTTACTGTATTCTTGTTTATCTGTTGTTTTTATGTTCTTTACTGTATGAATCACAGAGAGTTGGGTTAATTGGACAAAATAAATAAAATCAGTAAGCTGCCAAAAAAAATCCAGCAATGATGATTTAAACAATACATTAAATAATTCTTTCTGGTTCAATTAATATGAGTATCATACACTTTAAAGTTAAGTCTAAATCAAGATTTTTTCCTTAACACAATAGCTTTATATAAGCTAGAACACTGTATTAAGAGTTGAAGTGCATATAAACCTTCTAACTGCTTAATTATATTTAAATTATCTGTGAGTAAACCACACAATTGTAAGATCACTTGTTATCCTGTCCTTTTTAAACCATAAAATGTATTTATTATTTAGAAAAATGTATTATTAAAAATAATCCTGCCCTTGTCTGTGATTAGCCAGGCAATCCTTTCTCCTAATTCCAGAAGATCTGATGTTGGAGAGTCTGATACATCTTAAGCAGGATAGGAAAGAGAATATTACTTTCCTGTCAACTTAATACATTGCACCCAAGTGAAATAAAGCATGATAATTGTTCTCCAAAATTTCTAGGCATAATGCAGATCCCAAACCTCTCCTCACATGGCCAGGAATTGCCCACTACATTTCCCCCTCTTCAACATGGATAGGTAAGACTTCGTAAGTTTCACAGAAGCTAGGCATGAACACCTAAGGTTTGATCTCCAAATCAGAACTCTCTGTTCACCCTCCGAAGGGAATGATCAGATCAATCATTGTCCCTGCAAACTCTGCCTGGAACCATAGGATTCCACCTTATATGTTATAGCACCCAATTTAAAATTAACCAGGAATTTCTCTTAAGGTTTCTAACTGTTTAATCTGTAACAATAATAGCAAGGAGTGGAAGGAATATACAATTCTATGGGCTCCTATGACTTGCTTAGACGAGCAAGTGGGAAATGCAGCAAATATCTCTAGAATGACAGTATAAACATACTACACATCAGAATAAAAAACGGCCTGAATACAAAACAATCTTAGTTTCATAAGCTGAATAAGTTTCATAGCTCTGTAGACAAGTGTACCGGTAGTCTTCACTTACTGAACAGTCGTTCAGTGAGTATTTGAAATTATGGTGGCGCTGAATGAAGGGACTTATGACCGGTCCCTGAAGTTACAGCTGTTGCAGTGCCTCCGCGGTCATGCGATCAAAATCTGGGCACTTAGCAGCCCACCCATATTTACTACCACAGGGCGCTTCAACTCCCCCCACTGCCTATCTCCCCATCTATGCCCTTTTGGCCACCTGCACTCCATGGTTCCTCCAGTTCTCGCTGACCTTCACTGTCTTCTTGCTCCCGCTCTGACCAAGCATGCCCAGCCTGGCCCTTTGTGAGGCAGCTGCTGGCTACATGAGGCTTTCTTCCCAAGGTTGCACACAATGGTTTCTTCACAAGACCTGGGGAAGATGGCCTCATATGGCCAGCAGCTGCCTTGGAAAGAGTCAGATCAGGCACACCTTGTCAGCACCAGAAACAAGAAGACAGTGAAGGTCAGCTAAGGCGGTGGAGCACAGGGCGGCAGAGGCCTTGGAATGCAAGGTGGCAACGATGACTGTGGCTGGGACTGGGCTGGGGTGGCTGAGGCTTCCCAGGGTGGCTGTGGCTTTGCGCTGTGCTGCTGGGGCGGCTGGGATATGAAACAAGCCAAAAAGTCTTTAGTTAATTTTAGCTTCCCATTACATTTATGTTGAGAAAATATGGTTAAGAGCTTCCAAAAAACCCAGGATTGAAACCAACTTTTAACTGTAACTTCACCATAGTTATTTGGTTATGATATAATGAATATGTGCACGTGTCACACACACACTCTGCCCTGTTTATTTCATGACCTGAGTAAAGCAGATGATGGTGAGGATCATGAGGCTCACTCATATCTCTCCACACTGTAGGATTCTATGTATTTTTTTTTTACAAATGTTCTTCCTTATGCAATGTAAACCTTCCAGCCTAAGTATGATCCACAGTGTGGAATTGAAAACAGAAAAAGATTCATGGATGTGGGTGAATGGCAGATCAGTTTCCTACTATTACCCTGACAGTCACTCCAATCACACATATGTCCAAGAATTTTATTAGTTGCATGAATTCTGCCACAGTAGGCTGAGGAGAAGCCCCCACAATCACCAGAGCAGAATTAAACATATTTTATTGCTAGGAAACTAAAATAGATTACAATTTCATGTTCATCTCTTTCTAGGAGAACAGAAT